GGCTGCACAGTGAAAGGAGAAGCAACACAATGATTAGCTCATCTCTCTGTCAGAGTTTGCTTTCTCCTTCTATCAGTATGCTTCTTGTCAGTACATGAGCTTATTGGCTTCTTATATTATTTTTTAACCCTCACACTCCAGGCCAGTTGTACAAGAATTACAAGAGGCTGATACTGGGTCAAAGGCAGCTACTTTGACTGCTTGCTTTTAAAATACATTTAATGATGTATTAATGATTACATGGCTGCATTCATTTGTATCTTCTATATCTACCTAGAATTCAGCTTTAATGAGTCCCTATGTATGAAAGGTAGACCTGGTAAGGGATAAGTCACTTGTGGATTACTCATCTTGACATTTTTAATAAAGAGAACAATGTGGTTGAAAGTCTGTGGGAGGTAACAGTATTATTTTTATAGTAATACTTACAGTACATTTTGCTAAATGAGTATGGTATCCCTTGTATGTGATTATGGCACAAGGCTTTTATGTCAACACTAGGGGCAGGTAAGTTACACATTATCTTTTATTCTTATGCCTAATTTATGCTTGTGATGTTTGGAAGGTAAATAGGCTTCCCTGGGAAAGTTTTTGGATAGAAGATGCCAGTGCTGTGAATGCTTAGCTTGAATTTTGAGAAGGACAATGATTTCTTTGTGGGCACCCATCTGAAGCACTTGTCCAGTGGTGAAGGGCACACAGTGTGATGTCTGCATGGCTGGGTTCCTACATGTCTGCAGCCAGTGGCGGAACTATCGCCATAGCAACCCAGGTAGCCGCTATGCGGCCCAGGGCACAGGGGGGCTCGGCCAGGACCAGGAACAAAAGGGTCCCCCTGATGCCGTGCAGGCCACCTGGGTCACTATGTCATCGCAGGCTGCAGGACTGTCACTGGCGGCTGTGAGGAGGAACGTGCTGCTGTCCAGATCACTGACAACATGTCAGTGATGTCTGCAGCTGTGTGTTCCTCTTTACAGCCGCTGCTGAGTCAGCAACAGCCAGCAGCTGCAGTGGAGGAGGCCGGGACCTGGTGGTGGTGGAGAAAGGGGAGGGCGGGTCTGGCAGCAGTGAAGGAGGAGGAGACAGGGCCTGGGCCCATCGGCAACCGTGGAGGAGGAGGCCGGGGCTGGCCTACTCCTCCACGGTCCTCCATAATCAATGGCCAAAGAAACTTTAGCTGGGATATGTCTTTTTCCCACAAAATATCTTGTCAATGGCAATTCAACCAATTTACTACTTACAGAGTATTTGAGATGGGCAATTTAATATTTTAACTTCTACGTGGTCTCTCCTAAATATAAAAGAGATCCACAAATGAATTTTGGCACGTTAAATAATGTTTCATTAGCACTGCGGCATCTCTATGTGGGTGTTGAAACAATTCAACTTTTATCATAGATGTACATAGAATGCAGGATAAACATGGAAAAGAGCCCTGTTCATTTCAGACCCAAATCATTTGTGATATCGGAGCCATATAATCAGACTTAGAAGATTAAGGTGTTGCAACCCCACTTTTGTCTTTAATATATTTTTTGGATCTTGAACAGATTCCTGTTGCCGGCATTTGTTGGAGAAAGGGTTCACTATACATAGGTACTACATTTTAAAAACACATGCACCTGGAGGATTCACCTGCAGTCATTGTTTAGTGAATGTCAGAATCACTGTGGTATAAACATTCCCCTAAGTATTGTCTTTTTATTGTCATGTCTAAAACAATGCTTCATGCTGCAATATTCTAAGACACTATCCTATTTAGCAGTGTTAACAAAAAACACAAAAAAGCCATAGATTACAACAATGAGAAACTGTGTTACAAATGTCTACCAACCTGTTTAAAGATACTATGAATTGCAGCTAGGGGCATTTTTCAGGTACAAGTTACAACGTTCTGCAAAAACATATACTCAGAATTGTATGAAATATTGTGGACTAGCATCCCTTTAGATGTGAGCAAGTATCTTGTACAGATAAACCTAAATATAATAAACATATCCTTGACATAACAGAGTTAACATCTGATGATTTAGTCAACTTGACATTTTTACTGCATTGTGACATCAATTTACATTTAAATGCACGGTGTAGATGTCAGAGTTGTGCATAGTTGTGCATAGTTGTGCATAGTTTTCAGAATTCATAAAACACAGTGTATGCAATTTGACTTCAGGCTCTGTGCATAGTTTTGTAAGAAATTATGTAAGCAAATTACTAGAGGTGGGGTGAGAGGATTCTAGAATATCCTAACTGAAACTTTGCTTGGTTGCTGTGGGACAGTATATAGAAACTTACATCTTGATTGCAGTTCTACTTGCTTTCAATACTATAGAATGGAGAGATTAGAATTTTCTTTCAAAGTTGTTAAAAACAATTGAAGTTATTGAAAACAATGAATGGTTGCAGATCAAAAAATATTACAGTGAGACTAAACTCAGGAGTTAAACCTTGCAAATGCATTCAAGTACCTTAACTATTAACAAAAATGTATCTTATTGGTGTATCATTCAGCAGTAGAACATCAAATCATCTCTGAATTGGTGCTGACACTGTCCTTCCTTCTGGAGGGTGGTCACTTTTGTTCCCCATGGTCCCTGTGTGTGTTGTAAAGTAGCAACCGCTCCAAGCTCACTCCTCTGATTGACTACAATCTCAAGTTTAGTTTACTAATTGGTAATGAAGTTATAGTTCATCAAGGCAGCCATCTTGGAGCGGTGGCTACTTTACAACACACACAAGGACGATGGGGAACAAAAGTAGCCACTCTCCAGAAGGAAGGACAGTGTCAGCACAAGTTCAGAGATGATTTGAGGTTCTACGGCTGTGTGATACTCAAATAAGATCATTTTTGTTAATAGTTAAGGTACTTGATTGCATTTTTAAGATTTAACTCCTGAGTTTAGAGTCACTTTTACTATAAATTATAAATGGATTGGCTGACAGCTATACACATTGCATTTGATTTGCTAAAGGAATATGTATTACAGTTAGCTCAGTGTCATACAATTGATCATAACAAATGTTTTTTGCATTTTTAAATTCAGTCATCTGTCCAAGCAACCAAATCACTTGCATTGAAAGCAGGAAGCATTAGAAAAGCACTTGTCAGTCAAAGGGAAAAATACCAGGAAGAAGGCAAATGCTTTTAAAGTTATCTAACTGTAATAATGTTTATAATATTTATTTAATTGATAGTATTCATGAAATATTAGGTGACTGGTCAGATGTCAATAATATATTATCTTGTTAACCTTTGCTTGCTGGGCACGTTATCGAGACTTCTACAAATAGATCATCTCGAAGTACCTGCTTAGTTTGTGAGCAGTGGGTGATTACAATATTCCCTTTATGCATAATTGGATATTCTGTGCAATAATTACTTTCCACAGCATCTATTATTGTGTAAACGCTGTTTTTGTAACCACAGTGCTTAAATGTTTCTATTTTCTATCTTAATTGGCACCGATCACTTGTTTCATTTTTTTTGTTTTTTGTTTGAGGTTTAAGTCATTAGCCTCCAATTAAATTGCCAGGTGTGAGTGGAAGACATCTTGAGTATGCTATTAGCTTCTGAATGCCAAATTATGTAGTCAACAGGAAGAAGTAAACTAGAGATAATCAGACTTTTAAATTAAGGTTGTCAGGCTGAAAACAGCAAGATGTTGTCTCAAGCATTTTCTCCCAGGCATCTCTATAGAAAACGTTTACTTTAGGCTGTTTACACTGTTGTGCTATCATATTCTGTCGAAATTCAGGTTACACTTTTTGGAAGGAGTACAGATACCTGTCAGTCTTCTTGTTGGCTATACATTATGCAGGTTTCATCAGAAAATGTCTTGCCACTCTCCGTTCTGCCCTAACATTGACTAGTCGCTGACGGCCACAATTCGCACGTTCAGACCCAGATTTTTGGCTGACAGTCCACTCTTTAAACACTTTAACAACAGCTGCTCTTAAACATTTAACAAATTCTGCTGTTTTGCTGATACTCGCTCCATGGCTCCAAGCGCCAACAATCATCCCACGTTCAAAGGTTGTTAAATCGCGTTGTTTACCCATATCTTCAGAACAAAATCACTTCTACTGTCGTGGTAAACAACCTGCTTCCCTATGTATAATGGTCTGGCCCTCTAGCAACTTCAGCGCAAAATTATAGCTAATTATAGCTAATTTGCCTACAAACATCAGGTGGTCATAATAATCTGGCCACACAGTGTATAACATGTAGCCAGTTGTGTACTTCACTTATAAATCATTTTTGGAATGCTTTCAATGCTTGGCATAGTAATCCTTAATAATATAATGCCTATGTCAGGGTTTTGTTTTCACTGCACAGCTTCACTGGTCCTTTCCCAGCGACACCACACTTCCAGCATACAGATTGGTCTTTTCCCAGTAAGATCTCTCCTGAGTCTAACTGACAGGTACAACACTGAGCAAAATCATTACAAAAATGAAACTCTTCCATTGCATATTCGTAATAGACTACCTTACAGAAGAACTTCATAAAAAATAAATATAAAATAGTCAGTGACTACTTATCAGCCAGCAACTGTTAGGCAAAATTATTGGTGGCTGTAAATAAAAAACTCCTCCAGCACTGGTTGACTGTAACCCCCTCATTCCCCAGCAAAATAAGCAAAGGCATTCTGACTAAAGTCTATCCAGTCATAAAGGCACAAATTAACCCAGGTCAGGAAGTAATTAATATGTAGAAAATACCAGGGTTCTTGTGACATTACAAGTGAATTCCATATACTTGTTGCACCTTGCTCACAATTCCTTTCTGAGTTTAGAAAGGACAGACATAACTAAAAAGAAAACACTGAATTCTAGAGAAATTACCTTGGAATGGGCTCATTAAGAGTCAAAATCTGCTAACTATACTGTAACTCAACGTCTTGGTTCAACAGCCAAAGCCATTGTTGTATCATGGAGCTTTATGCATGGGTATTTTGTGAACATTACTCTGAAGAAGTTTGCTTAAATGTCTGTTCCAGGGTACAAGCCTAGTGAAGGAGTGTATGAAGACAACAATGCTATCTTCTTGAAAGATGGTGAAGAGTCAAAGCCACAGTTTCTCTGTAGGAAAAAGCCTGTGGTACTGGACCTCAGCATAAGGCAAGAAATGGAGAGGCAGAGAATAGCCGAGGAAAGAAGATCCCAAGCCATAAATATGTATTCAAAGCTTCGCAATACTCGTCCCACTATGTTTCGCACAGCTCAATCAGTGGGCATTTCTAGGTTTGAAGACTGTAAGTAGAAAGCATTTCCATTTCATTGGTGGGTTTAAATAAATACTGTATATGTCATAGTATTTGTAAGGGACTCATACAATAGATATAATTAAAACTAGTATAGAGGCAATATTTTACACCAATAACATGTTGTTTGCAACCAATGTAAAATGGTAAAAAGCCCTAAAGCTTGAGTTGACTGCTATTCCTGCAGGAACCCAATCCTCTGGAATTTATCCACCTTTTTTTTTGCTTTGTGGCTTTTCCTTTTTCCAGTAATTTATTGAATGCTCACCCAATCTAAAACTGATAGTTCAGTTTCTAGTAGATGCCTATGAGTTGAATCTATCACCAGCTTTCAATCTTTCTAGGACTTGGAGATGAGGTCTACCTTCAAAGCGTCTTGGCTTTTTTTTTTCCATCTAGAAGTATTAATTACTCTGATACACTAGGGAAGTCCTACTCTTTGTACTTTAGTATCAAAAATTCGATGAACCCCACTGGGAGGGTGAGATCTATTAATTGCACCGTGAAGCTGGACAATGCTGAAAACAGAGAAGAAGTCTTCCCATCTTTTCATTTCTTTTTTTTAAACAGGTAAACTTTTTTGAAAGCTATAAAAGCATATAGTGGAGGGTGAGGACGGACAGAGGATAGATATAAACAGAAATATACATTACCTGTATGCATACATAGCATCAAGAATGAAAACATTAGGAGCTTTCAGGTTCAGCACAGCATAGTCAATGCGTGGAGAAAGAAACAATAACAGTTTAGACAGTGATTGTCTATAAACTGTACATTAAAGAATAAAGCAACAGTATTTTTCAGAAACCAACTCTCATAACCATCATTTGTGGTAAACGTCAGACCAGAGAGGAAAAGGAGGTTTAGAAAAAGAGAGGGGAAGGTAAGGGAAAGGGATGGGGAGTAAAAAACAAATGCAAATGCTTATTCTACCCTAATTTGTAAGTGGGGGTGGGGGGGGGTGGGACTTAGGTTGTTGTGAAGCCATACAGAGTAAGACCCGATTTGATCAAATCTGATATGAGCAGCCTCTGCGCATATATGTTAGTTGGTATAATGGTAATATGTTATAGATAGTGGCACACCAGCCCCCATATGGTGAGTTTTCATTTGAGGATGATAAAAACGTTTCTGATGTTTGGGAGTAGTGGAGTCATCATGGATATAGAAGAAAAATTGGTGAGTTTAGGTCCAGTGAGATTTCCCGGGTAGCAGTCAACTTTCAGGACTAATGCAGTGTAATCATTGTAGAATGTAGTAAAATTCTATGAACTTTACCTGAATACATATTTTCCTGGCTGAAATCAACAGTGTATTGTGCTATTCCATCCTCCCAGTCATCCTCTTGGAAATTTGGAATGTCAGGATCTTTCCCAGGTTTAAGCATATCCACTATAATGGCCTATATACAGGATATAGAGAATTGAATTTAAAAATGTACATATACACACATTTTTTAAACTTTCACGGTAAGATGACCTTTCCCATCTATTAGCATTGATCAACATAACTTGGGGGTTGAAAGACTGATGCCTCCAAACAAGTCAATTCAGGAAAGCTGTTATCAGCTTCTGACAGCTGGCTATGCAAACTGAAAAGAGGCTGCTTACATGGATTTAACTGGACACTTAGCAACAGTGTATACCTTATCTGTTGGTTTTATAGAAACAGTCTCTCTGAAATGGGCCAACCAGACAGATCTTTTCCTTTACATCTTAAAGTTTACATTATGCACTTTTTTGTAAACACAAGTTTATTTCAGTCTCTTTTTTTCCCTCTCTCCGTATCATATGCTTTTCATGTTTAATCAAGTGAATTAATTAGTGTTCTCAGTTCTATTGGTAGATACCTAAAAAACAACTTGTGCTGTCAAGGGAGAATGCGTGTCTTTGTGTTGGTTGCTGGAGGTAGTCATCAAATGTTAGAATGTAATCAGATAAAGCTAGTTGTTGGTAGCAGTGTGCTAGCTTTGTCAAACTCCTAGGATCTTCAATAGGACAAATCTCTATCTTCATTTGTCACCCCAGTGCACCCTTTGTGTATATAATTTCCCATTGGTATTATCCAGAGCTTTGAGTCGATAGGAGACTAGCCTCTTGGCTTGCACCATTACTTCCAGCAGGCTTGATACATCTGCAATAGATCTAGGAGGATTTGTGCGTTTGCTGGAAATTTTGGGCCATCTTAGCAGGCTCCATTATTTTGTCAGGTGTCACCTCCCATCAATTGATCTGATATGACTCAAGGTTTAGCCAGCTGGAGTCCAAGCAAATAAAACACAATTTTAGCATCATTTCATGTTTTTTAGCTATTGGAATAGGAGTGGAAATATTTATAAATGTTAAACAGGAACATACTAAGTTGATTTTTTAAAATTGTATTAGATATAGATATTTGTTGTTACTGTATATCTAAATGACATCACACGTTCAGTTGCTGCTTTTCGCCGCTATTCTCATAAGGGCCAAATGGCAGTGAGTAAATAGCCGAATGCTGCCGAGTGGCATTCGGCTCAGATATTCTGCTCACTATCTCCGAGGTAATGAGCAGAATAAACAAAATTTAAACAAAAGAAAAAATTTTGAAAAAATAATTTAAATAAATGTAAAAAAATAAAAATAAAAACATGCTAAGAAAATAATTTTAAAAAAAATGTAAAGAAAGGAAAAAACAAACAAACAAAAAAACAGTATGGGGCCCCTCTCAAACCATACCAGGCCCTTTAGGTCTGGTAGGAAAGTAAGGGGGGACTCCAATTAAAAAAACAGCGTGGGGTTCCCCCCAAAGTCATACCAGGCCCTTTAAGTCTGGTAGGAATTTTAAGGAGGAACCCCCACCCCCAAAAATGGGTGTGGAAAAGTGTGGGGTCCCTCCTAAAATTCCCAACCAGACACTTGATCTGAGCACAGGCCTGGGAGGGCAGGAAAGGGGGGGGGGGGGACAGGCGCGCGCCCT